AAAAAATTAATATAAAATAAAATAAAATACTATTATGTACTAAAATAATATAAAATTAAATAGGTAAATTAAATTAAATGTAAAAAAAATTAAACAAAAAAATTAAATAGGATAAAAATAAAAAAATAGAATAAAAATAAAAAAATGAAATAAAAACAAATTAAATAAAATAAAAAAATTAAATAAAATAAAAAAATTAAATAAAATAAAAAAATTAAATAAAAAAAAAATTAAATAAAACATAAGAAAAAAAATGAAATATAAAAAAATAAAAAATAAAATGATATAAAAAAAAGCAAAAAAAGAGTAAAAATAAATATAAGAACATGAATATAATAAATAAAACTAAATAATATAAAAAAGGAAAGCTAAAATTTGAAATAAAAAGAATATAAATAATTTGGAATAAAATTATAATAAAATAAAGTTCCTACTGAGGTAAAATATTTGTGTATTATTACAAAAAAAAAAACGTTATTGCTGTTGTAACCGCAAAAATGTCGCGGGAGTGACCGTCCTTGGCCGGATAAAAATCCGGGTCGTTCCGGTATTAAGACCCGACTGTCGCGGGAACTATTAATGCTGGTAAATTCTTGAACCCCTAACCCGCACGGGTATAACCCTTGACTTGGATTTCTCTTGCAATTCAACTTGTATGGAAACTTGTATGGTGAATTTTCTCTTAACATAAATGTTATGCGTTTATGTCCTTTCAAAGCGAAAATCAAATCAAGAGCACAAAAAATATGTAAGAGTAATTCTAGAACCCAAAATGAGCATATTTTCATTATTGCCTGCCAACAAATGAAACCGTTAGGTAAGGTATTTAATATGTAGACACTTAATGTATAGATATGTATGTATGGATGTATAGGCACATTTGTTTATCTGTTCTACGACAAAAAAAAAATAACAAGTTGTCCTCTCTCCGCTTGCTCTACGAAAAGAAACTGTGTTCATGTGTATTTAGAAGGAGACCGCTTTTCAGTTATGTGAGGATAACAACAACCAACAGCAACTAAATTTCACTCCGCCTTGAGCTTCTTGCAGAAAAATAACAAATAATTTGATAACAGTATCAAGTATATATCGGTTTATGTGTATGCATACAAACATATCTACCTACATAAGTATGTACATCTATGTACATATACATATACGCAGGTATGCATTAGCATAACATAAACAAATGCTCCCGCAGAGGTCTAGCTGCAGCGCAGCTATAAAAACGCCGCGGCACACTTTGTCATCAGTTCAATCCGGTTTCATTTCGGTTGTATTCGTGCTGTACGAGTTGTTGGTTCTGTCATTTATGTTTGGTCATACGTTGTCGTCGTCAAACTTAAAGAAAAACGCAAATAAATTAAATTAAATTAATATTCGAGTGTGTGTTTGTGTTTAGTAGCGACCGCTTTCGTTAGAGCAACGCGAAACTGCTATTATTTATAAGCATACATACATTGTATGTGTGTACATACATATAAAAAAAGTAAGAATTCGATAAATTTTTGTTTTTTCTGTTTCTGTTAAATATATTTGCTTGTTATTTATTGTTCTTGTATAAGGCAGATACGGCGCGTGTTTAGCAGCCATCTTGTGAAGACAGCCTTGAGAAAGATTATTACTACAGCAACAACTATTAGTAGTGTTATTTTTGCATAGTTTTATTTTTTTGCATACTGCACTTTTGTTGTTGGCGCTGTCAGTGGCGTGTATTTTCTCTTTTTTGTGTTAGTAAAATTTTGATATGTTGCCACAGCTGTTTCAACTATTGTGAACTCATACTTTTTGCAGTTGCACTTTTTTCAATTTTTTTTTTGTTTGTTTGTTACAAGTGCATATGCAAACATACTGCTAATCTTGTTTTTAATTTGTGCTGCGTTGCAGGTATATGTTGTTGTTGTTGTGATGAGTGTTAGCATAGAAAGTATGCACCAAATATATTTTAAATGTGTTTATAACCTCAAAAAAATTTTCAATTAAAAAAATATATAAATATTTATATATTTCGCGGCAGATAAGATCTAAAAAAAAATGTGAAAAATGTTATGAATTATTAAAGCTGTGCAAAAATACTTATATAATGCTTTAAAGTCTGATTTTACAAGGTTTGAGAGAACGAAATAAATGTGATTAATACTTTTTATTTATTTAGCATAGAGAGATTGCGAATTTTTATGTTTGTTTTGTATTGTTGTCGAAAATCAAAACCAGAAAACGTTTAAAACATCGAAGTCTGGAATTTTGTGTAAAAATAAAATCTTTACAATTTATGCATATTTAATTTTGAAATTATTGTAAAAATGTATTGAAAAAACCCAAAAAGAAAATTGCTATTCTCTAATGCATTTTTCATGAAATTAATATTTGGTTTTGCACACTTATTGATTAGTCACATGTTGTTTCTGTTTATGTTTATTTTTCGTGTTGTTAAATACTTGGCAATTTAATGCTTTCAAAAGATTTCCATCATTTTCACAGTACATTCACAGCTCACAGTTTTGCATGAGTAATATTTTTTCTATACAAAAAAAAAAAAAGAAGTTTTCAAATACTTTGAGCAAGTGAAGGGAGCAATTTTGAAAATTTGTAAAGTTTGAATATTATTACTTTTTCCTCTATTTATTTTCTTGTTATTTTTTCGCACTAAAATTGTCACATGGATTCACTTAAATTTTCATAAATATTTCGTGTTCTAAAACTATAGATTTACAAGATAGTAAATTTTGTGTATTACCTGTATTCTAAGAAACTATCACGTCTTCGAATTTGTAAAAATATTTGTTTCTTCTTAAATATGTACTTTTGTTGTCACAAAACTAATCATTTCCCTTATTTTCTTTCTTCAATTACAGTTCTGGGCGATAACAAAGAAAGCGAGTGAGTGAGTTTGCCATTATCAACACAGTATAAAATAGCAGCAGCTATCAGCGGTGAGAAGTTTGTTAAACGACGGCAAAAGAGTCAAGCATAAATAGTCAACAAGGCGACACTGTGTGCCAGTCACCGGTCAATAGTCACCAACACCACATCACCACCGCCAAATACAACAGCTAATAGCAACAAAACAATTGCTTTCAACACAAATATTATTTATTTCTATTCAATTGCAATTGTGTGCACGGCAGCAGCAGCAGCAACAACAACAACAACAACCAGCGAAATTTTCTTCAACTGGACAATCAGTTCATAAATATAGCATAAAGCAAGCAATTGAGCTGAAGCTTCGAAAAGAAAATAAAATTGTGGTAAGTTTTTTGTACTATATATTCTTGCGTAAATTTTTGTACTAATTTTGAATTTTTTTCTCTCTTTTTTTTTTTAGCGCCAGGAACAAAAATCTCTAAGCGGCTAGACGTTGTTGTGTTTGAAGTTATTCAAAACTCACTCACCCACTCACCATACACAAAAACATTTTGTTTTTGTATTGAAATTGATAATTCCTTAAAATTAATATTGAAAGCCAACAGTTATTTGCAAATTTTCTTCAGTGTTCTACCATCAACGAGTTGTGTTAAACATATATTAAATAAGAACTGTTATTAACTTCACTTCATTTGCTGAATTTCTTAAACGTCAACAACGTAAAATATAAAAATTAAATACAAACACAATAAACGGCAAAACAGCCACGTGATTGAGCAGATAAACAGCATAATTATTGAGCGTTCGGTGCTAAGAAGTGATAAAGGATTTATCAAAAGAAGGCGGCAAAGTTAGCAAAATCGTAGCGAATAATCAATTAAAAAAGAACAACAACAAAAACTCTAAATTAAACTTAGCAAAGACATAATCAAGCAAACCAACAAACAAACAAAAATGGAACGTGAATCCAATCCGATGCAACCTATGTGCCGCTCTGGTTGCGGTTTCTATGGCAATCCAGCCACCGATGGTCTTTGCTCAGTGTGCTATAAGGTGAGTATTAAATGTGATGAATGCAAAATGATAATAAATATTCCATTTTGTTTTTGTTTTTTATTTATTTAAATATGAATTTTTAATAATCGAATTGTTCTTTTTTTTAGGACTCTTTGAGAAAAAAGCAACAACCACCTGTTAGTAGCACACCTGTATCAGTTCCAAGCCCACAGCCAAGCCCCACATTCAGTCCAGCCATCACAATAACCAATACAGCACAGCCGACAGTGCAAAGTTTACAACAGCAACATAATGAAATAAAAGAGGTAATTAATATTTGCGATATTTTTTTTTTAAGCCATAAGTTAAGAAAGCAGAACCAGATTAAATTTCGCACAGGTTTGCAGAGTGAGAGTCTATGAATTGTTAGGAGAAAACATAAAATTATTGAAAATTAGTTAGAGTACTTTACGCTATTAGAGTATTCCTTGAAAGGTGGTAGATATTTTATAAGAATCCTTTTTAAATATCCACCCACATGGTTTTCTTTAACTTTATTAATATGTTTTTTCGAATGTATTTTTTTTCTTTTAATTTTTATGAATATATTTCTCTAATTTTGATTAATTTTTAAAATTTTTATTATTATTATTTAATTTTTATTATTATTATTTAAATTTTATTATTATTATTTAAATTTTATTATTTTTGTAAGTTTTTATTATAATTTTTTTTTTATTTCTTATTATTGTTGTGTTAATTTATTTTAAATTTTTTGATTGTTATCATTTTTCTTTAAGTTTTATTATTAAATAACTTTAGTTTTAATTGTTATATCTCTTAAATTTTTATTATATTTTTTAGTTTTTTATTTTACTGTATCTTTAATTTATACTATTTTTATGTAATCAGAAATATTTTTGTTATTGCTATATATTTATTTTTTATTATGTTTTAATTGTTGTTGTTTTTTATTTTAAATGTTTTTTATTATTTATTTTTGTTAATTTGTATTATTATTATTTTTTTTTTTAATTTTATTAACTTAATAATTATTTTCTGAATTAAAATTTGTTATTGAATAACTCTATACCCTGCCTAAAAATATATATGCTTTCTTTGAATTCTAAATCATTTAAAAAGTAATTTTTCGGTTTTCAAAATTCACAAAAAAAAATTCTTTAACTTCCAAAATTCACAATTAACTATAAAAACCCAGCAAAAATTCAGAATCTGATATCCTTTTACGTTTTAAGTTGACTGAAGTGTTAACCCTGGTGTAAAGTATGAAAATATGCAATAAATAGAAATTGCTTAATTCAAAAGCCTTTACCGAAACAAATTCGACATCCACTGCTCATCGGCGAACTCGTTTTCCATTCAAAAATTTGTAGTAAAAATTTGGTAAAGAGAAAAAAAACAAATCTAAAAATATGTCCGCTGCTAAAATGAAGACCGTACCACCCAGTACTGCCACTACAGACGCACAAGAGCGTCTACGTAAGCAGCAGCAGCAGCAACAACAGAATGATAAAATTGCTAAAAAGTATATGTTGTCAACAACGGTCGATTCTGATCAACCAACAACAGCCACAACAACGGCAGCGGCCGCAACCGCAACAGTTTCAGCGGCTAGCACTGCAGCCGCACGTCGAAATCGTGAGCACTCATTAATAAAGTTAACAAATTGCTTGTTGTTTCATATACCTTTCCTTTGTTACTTGTATTTTACAAGACACTAGAAAATTACGCTCGGCCAGCGGTGATGATATAAAACGACCCGTCGACAAGCGTTCAACAACAACAACTTCAACGAAACGCAAACGTCATGTAGACTTTATGCCACCGAATAAATCAAAAACACGTCTAACTACCGCAAAAACCAAAACACAGCCAGCACCTAGCACCACAAATTCTACTGATTCACCAGCCACCACTGTGGTCAAATCCAAGTCCATACTCAAAGTTAAGCAAATAACTGTGGTCAAACGTAAAACTGGCACAAATAAAGTGACTAAAAAACTGAAAAAAGCGCCACAGGGCGCACAAGCTGAAATGGAGGCGGCTGAGTTGTCTAAGTTGGAGCAACAGTTTGCAAGAAATCCGCCGGTTGTAACAAATGCCGAGGAAACGCCAACAAATGACAATGCGTCAGCCGCAAATACGGCAGTGACAATAAATTCCCACGATAATGGTCATCAACTCACTAGTTTTAACAATCGACGCTTACACAGGCGTAAGCATTTCATGCCCGCCGGCGCCGGCATTGTCGAGTCGGGTTCTGTTAATGTGCCACCCGTGCGTCGCTTTAGTCCTGTGCGCGACAAAGCCGCACTCTTTGCCAAAGAAAGTGCGAAAGTTTATAATAGTGTTGACTCCTTTAATATACCCACCAAAAGCAATAACATAACTGTGGCTATGGTCAAAGAGGTGCATACAAATAAACCAATAAATAAATCAAACAACGAAGAAGCACCACCGCCAAATCAAAATGAAACACCAAATAATGCGGTTGCCTCGAATTTAGTCGCATCTCAGGCTAATGTCGCTGATGGTAGTCCTGTTGCGGGTGGTGGCCCAGTGCATACACCACAAGAGTTACAAAATGCAATAATTGCACCAGTGGTAGTGCCAATTGCCGAACCCACTGCTTCCATTACGGCCTCAACTAGTAATAATTATTCGTCTAAAAAAGGGGTAAATGTCTTACCAATTCGATTCTTGATTAAGGATTGTTTACTGAAAATGTCTGTAATGCTAGTTTAACGGTTATTTATTGTCTTTACATAGTTTATATACTACCTCGTGTCAATTTTCTCAAACCGAATGCGCAAAATAGTTGTAAATTTTAAAAGCTTTGCAAATTTGTGTAGCAAGAATTATTGGTTTCGCATTTGCCCATACTTTTTTTTCATAATTTTCACTTTAGGAAATAAGTTTCCACATCATTATGTGCAAAGAATTAGCGTAAAAGTAGTAAAACGGAAACGATACAAATAATTTTTGTTTTTGCTGTTTATACATTTACAATTTTTGAATTTTTAATTGCCTTAGTCCGATTTTATTCCCACATGATACAAATGTCTCATGGTCAACATTTAAAATTATCTTTAAATGACTAAAATTACATTAGTCACTTTGACTCAAAACAAATCTTTTACTTTTCATCTTTGATTGTTTTGTATTTGTTAATGCTTTTGTTTTATTTTATTATTATATTAATTTTAATATTTTGTGGTATAATTTTATTTTTTAGTATTTCCCATTCTTTCTTCGTTCCTTTTTTAATAAAAATTTAGTTTTAACTTCTTTATGTTTATTTTTTGAATTCATAATTTTGATATTATATTTATATTTTCATCTTCAATTTTTTAGTTTTGAATTTTGAGTTTTTTAATTTTTTTTATTCCATTTAAATATAAATTTTTCCTATTTTTTCATTGCTCCTTTATTATAGTTTTAAATTTTCATTCATATCATGTAATACTTATTAAACATTAATATATTTTTATTTTATTTTTTTTTTACATGAAATTCATACTTTGTTTTTTTTTTTAATTCATAATTTTGATATTATATATTTATTTTCATCTTCATTTTTTTAGTTTTTAATTTTGAGTTCTCTTAATTTATTTATATTCCATTTTAATTTCAATATTTCCTCTTCATTTTTATTGCTCCTTAATAAAAATTTCATTTTAAATTTTCTAATAATTTTCCATTTTTTTTTACAAACTTGTAAACATTATTAAATTTTTTCCTTAGTTATAATTTTCTTTTATTTTTTATTTTATTATTAGAATATAATGCTTTTAATTTTTTTTTACATATTTATTTTTTTATTTTTTTAATATCTCGTTTCATATTTGTTGTTTTTTTAATTTTTGTATGTTTCAAATTAATTTGATTTTTTTATAATATTAATGTTTTCTATTTGCATATTTAAAAAAAAAAATTTAATATATAAAATTCGTATAATTTTCCATGTTGTTACAAACAATTTAATGCTTTTTAATGATTATTAATTTCTTTTTTTTTATTTATTTTTTGTTTTATATTTTGAGTTTTTTTATTTTTATATCTTTTTTTAATATTTTTTTTTATCATTTCATTTCGCTCTGCCATCTTCTCTTTTAAACTTCCGTCATTGCTTAGAAAAAAGATAAAATAAGAATCACATGAGCAAGCAACTTGTGCATATACTCGTGCATAGGGTCTACTTTAAACTACAGTTTCTTATGTTTAATTAAATTTCACGGGCACTGCCGTTACAGCCAACAACAAATATTTCTCTTTTACCATTAACAAAACAAAAAAGAAAGAAAAAATTGGCATACAGGCAAAGGAATTTTGGCTTTTAGCCACCTAAAATACGTTGATTCTTATCTTGTAGAAATGCCTGTGTGTAGCTGGTAGAATAGGAAGAATCGTTCTTATGTCGCATACCCTTTACATCGACATGCTTAAGAAGCATTTCAAATAATTCTAGAGAGATTTAGTACTAAGCATATAGAATATAAGAGACGATTTGTAATACCAGTGATTCACCTAGGAAGCGAGTGAATGCAGGTTATAAACTAAAATAAATTTTAATAATTAAAATTTCTCTTTACACAATTCATAAATTATTTCATTTATTCATGCTTTACCTTCTATATTTTGCTTACAGAAAATAAACGAAGAAAGCGCAGCTAAAACTAGCACCGAAGCTGCTGCCGCTGCTGGTCCATCAACATCAACCTCCCAAACAGCCGAAGAAGACAAAGACAAGGAGGAAGATAAAGATGCAAAAAAGAAAAAGAATCGTTGCGCTGAGTGCCGTAAGAAAGTTGGTCTTACAGGTGAGTTATTGAATGAAAATGATAATGATAGGGCAAAAGTAAAGAGCTATATAATATATGTAATAAAAAATAAATAAGATGAAAACAACAAAATGTAAAAAAATAGTAAATAAAGAAAATAATAAACTAAAAAATATTAAACAAATATCTTAAAATAAAACTTAAAAAAATCTAAAAAAAAATTTAAAAAAAAAATTTAAAAAAAATTTTAAAAAATATAAAAAAAAATTAAAAAAAAAATTTAAAAGAATTTAAAAAAAATTTTTAAAGAATTTAAAAAAAAAATTAAAAGAATTTAAAAAAAATTTAAAAGAATTAAAAAAAAAATTAAAAGAATTTAAAAAAAAAATTTAAAAGAATTTAAAAAAAAATTTAAAAGAATTTAAAAAAAATTTAAAAGAATTTAAAAAAAAAATTTAAAAGAATTTAAAAAAAATTTAAAAGAATTTAAAAAAAAAATTTAAAAGAATTTAAAAAAAAATTTAAAAGAATTTAAAAAAAAATTTAAAAGAATTTAAAAAAAAATTTAAAAGAATTTAAAAAAAAAATTAAAAGAATTTAAAAAAAAAAATTTAAAAGAATTTGAAAAAAAAATTTAAAAGAATTTAAAAAAAAATTTAAAAAAAATTTTAAAAAAATTTAAAAAAATTTAAAAAAAATTTAAAAAAAAATTTAAAAAAAATTTAAAAAAAATTTAAAAAAAATTTAAAAAAAATTTAAAAAAAATTTAAAAAAAATTTAAAAAAAATTTAAAAAAAATTAAAAAAAAATTTAAAAAAAAATTTTAAATTTTAAAGGCTGAAAAATGTAGATAAAAAATAGAATTTAAAAATTAAAAAACATAAAAAATGAATGAAAATAAAAAACATAAGTAAATAAAAATATAAACCTTATCTCTTTCCAATAAATTAATAAAATTTCTCTTCTTCCTTTTGCAGGCTTTCAATGCCGATGTGGTGGACTCTACTGCGCTGTACACAGATACAGTGATAAACACGACTGCACATTTAACTATCGGGAACATGGGGCCCAAGAGATTCGACGCAATAATCCTGTGGTAGTTGGCGAAAAAATACAAAAAATTTGAACTTTTGTGCCATCAACTTTATAATATAAATATAAATATATATATATATAAATATAAATATTAAATATTAAATATATACATAAAAATTAAATATAAATAATAATGGTAATATAATTAATAACTATATATATAATAATAATAATTAATATACACATACACAAAACAAAACAAACAAAGTAATGGATGAAAGAGCAAAATAAAATCAATACTAAAACAAGCAAACAAAAAACTCAGCTAAAAAAGATTGAAAAATGAAAAAAATATAATATATATATATATATAGTAGTATAGCGCAGAGAGTTAATTTGAATGTAATATAAACTCCTCAAAGCATACATCAAACACATGCATACACACACATATATATATATATATACATAGGCACACATACATATAAACAGAATACCACCAATACACACAGAGGAATAATGCTTGAATTTCATAAGTCACTACCTACCAGCCGCCACTCCTCTTCAACCAGACGTATGGACACCTGCCCACATGTCGCAAAGCCAACAAACACACGACGATTGTATGCTGGAACATACTGACAAACTTGCATGAAAGCACAGCACAAAAAGCCAAAACAAAAAAAGCAAAAACACAAAATATAATGCAGTGATTAATTGAAAGGAGAATAGCAGGCGTCTTTGATTGGCTGAAGAAGTAAGCGCGGCATGGGTGCGCTATATAGCCGACAGTGTATGCAATTTATACTTGGCTTACAGGGGGAGAAAGTGTTCGATAACGGCAGCAGTGGGGAGCTTAATGGTGTACGCGCTCTGCTGCAGTTGGTAGCGTATGGTTTGTAGTAAATCTATTAATTTAATGACTCTGTCCACGAAGCGCCCTAGCAGCAATGCTGCCATAACTTCCAATACCTCCAGCAGCGTTGGCGTATTCAAGGATGTAACACAATTTTATCCAACATTTCCAAGCTGACGGCAGCTGCAGAGAGAGAGAGAACACCATCAATGCAACACACTACTGACTGGCGTAAATGTACAGAAGAACTCAAGCGAACACAGCACGGCGCACAGACTAGCGCAGCGACCAAATATGCGTCATGTCTACACCGGTGCTCCCTCCCCCCTTTCTTCTTGGAGAGTTGTGGAGGCTGGTTTCCATTTTTGGCTGCAATTAGTTTTTAAGATATTTCGAAATTTCTCAATACAAAATGCAATACAAAAGTTTAAATAAAAGTTACATGTATATACAAAATACAAACACATATACACACTCACACACTTTCTTGGCAAACAATAAGAACATTTAAGGAACTTTATTCAATACTACTAATTTCAATTACAGCTAAATGAGTAAAATACAAACGAAAAATTTAAAAAAAAAAAACATAAAAATAAATACAAAAAAAATAAAATGCAAAAACAAAACAATATTAATTATTATTAAAACAATTACTATTATATTATATTATTATTATTATTACAACAACACAAGCGAGACAGAAAATGAGCTAAAAAATAAAGAGTAACAAGTAAGAAATGAGAAAAAAAAATTGAAAACCAAAAAAAACGTAAAAATCATAAAATCATAAAAAAAAACTTTTACCTAGTTTACTATTAAAAATTGCGTGCAGGAGTAAACAACATATTTTAATTAAAACTAAAAACAGAGAAGTAAAAAACAAAACTTAGTTTATAGTGTGCAGTAAATGAAAAGCGGCAAAAACGAAAAGGAAAACAAAAAGAAAATCATAATTAATTTAAAAAAAGAAACCCTAAATTAATAAAAGCAGATCGTCAGAGTTGAAGATTTAGGCTTAAACATAAATGAGAGTAAATGCAAATGGATTAATTTAATTTAATAAAATATACATATTACCTATATATATACAAACACACATATATATATATATATATATATATAAATATATATATACATAAATAACTATAATTCAAAAATGTTTGATGAGTGGGAGCGAAAGCGATAAAAGTTATATTTTAACTGACTTAGCAATATAAGATTATCTACTATCTCACCACGGTTCGTTCTTTACAAAAACAAAAACAAAAACACAAACAAAACAAAGAAAACGCAAAAAAAACAATAATTCAAACACATTATTATAAACTATACTTCCTTTGTTGCTTTATCGTTGTAATTAATTTGAGTTTGAGTTGTTTTCTTCCTCTTCTTCTGCTCTTTTACTTTAAGCGTTATTTAGTTTCTTCCTTCAAATTATGTTAGTAGATATTAATAACTCTTTCTTTTCCTTGTTTTGTGTTTTAAAATCATTCAAAAAATAAAAAATAAAAAATAAAATTAACAATAAAAGTGAAAAGATTACAAGCAAATTAGCCGTAAAACTGCAATTTTCGTTGTTGAAGTAGAAGTCGATCGATCTTACGTTTTTAGTTAATTTGAGTAACAATAATTAATTATTAATAATTAAAAATATACATTTTGAAAGAGTAAAATATGTGTATAGTTGGGTATCAAATTGAAATGTGCAGTTGTGTGTTGGGCGTGCGGTGCGTTGCGGTGCCGCATTGTTAGGCGTGCAAGGCAAAGCTAACAACAATAAATAACGTAAGAAAAATATCTATAAAATATAATCAAAAGCCAAATGATAATGGTGCGCGCACTAACGGTGGCGGCGGGCAGCAAGAGCAGCACAAATTTTATGTAGAGAGAATTTTAAGCAATTTACATATAGTTTTTGAATTTGGTTTGATGGAATAAAAATGTAGCATGTGACAATATAATTATTTTTACAACAAAAAAAAAAAAACGTAGTCTGACTATCGGCACTTAAAATTACTATATGATTTTTAGCAATATTTCTCATACATACACGTATTGTACGTATGTATTACCACGTCTCACTCACCCACTCTCACACTCCCGCCTCACACTCTAGTTGTTTAATTTGTGTTTTCACATATTTTTCTTCTTCGATTAATTTTAGTTAATGTAAAATATTTAGTGAATTGCAGTTGACGACATATATTGTATGTATGTAGTTTATTATTATATATAAGTTGATTAGTTGTGGTGAAGTAATAAATATACTATATATAAATATCATTGAAAAAAAAATTCTAAAAACTTGTTTTTTTCGCTTTTATTTCTTAATGAATTATTTGTTTTATTTTATTTTATTATTTTTTTTTTGCTTAGCGAAAAGTTATATTAAAAAAAAGTTATGGAAATTCACATTAATTGCAACTTCGTACTTTGATTTTAAGTGAGAAGTAAGTAAGTAATTGAAAGAATAATAATAATAATAATAAAATTAATGAAAACAGCAACAATGAACTCTCTTAATTTAATGTGTATGATGAAAGTAATTGCGTATATTAACTTAAAGGCAGAAAAAATGAGAATAAATTTAAATAATATTTAATTCATAAACAAACTAACACCAATCACTGTAATTATTTGACGATGATGATGAAATAAATGAATGAAAGAATTATAATAAAATTTATAAAATGTATTTTAATGCTTAATTTCACAATTTCCTAAGAAAAATCGTTGCTTTAGGATTCTCGACTATTTGGCATTTTTAATTGTGTTGCTCTTGGGTAATTTTAAGTGTTGGTAGTAGCAGACCTGTCTAGTGTTAAGCGGTGTTAGGGATCTAAGCTCACACATATACGTGAGTTCAATCAATTCTTGCAAACATCCTTTCTACTACATATTTCTTTTAACTATTAACGGTTAATTTCTGAGTTTAGTCAATTTGCCAGCCAGTCTCTATGGATATACCCATTTCGGTTGAATTTCTACGAAGCACAAGGAATAGTTTTTCCTTTGATCTTTGTAACGAGTCTTCACAGTGAGTTCTACAGTTTTGAGTCGCGTTCAAATATTTTTGTAAAAGTTGCTTTTAATGTCGGAAATCCATCCGGAAGAAGTATTGATATTCATTGCAGAATAAGTGGTATTTGGGGGATGTTGCGGCTGTGGCTGTCTTTGGTCGGATAAAAGTCCGGCTTCTACTAGTATAAAGACTCGGCTATCGCCGGAACTCTTACATCTTATTCGCCTCTGACGTGGTTAAATTCTGATTGCTTTTGCATAGGCTATTAACTGAAGCATCTGCTGCTTGCTTCTCACTGAACTCACTCTCATCCTCCCTTACAATTTCTCTGTACCGATTTCACCGAAGCTTTAAATTTAAACTTATTATTTGTTAATGTTTTTCTTTTTAGTCAAATTTAGTATGAAATTTATTGAATTATGTTTTTTTGTACGATTAAAAAATTGTCTGAAGCAATATTAAAAAATTTAAAAAATTGTCTACTGCATTTTTGTGCGCTTTTATATATGAATTACAAGAACGATAATTTCATTAAATTTTTTCATTAAAAATATTGTTTTCTTGCCGTAGAGTTAGTTTCTGTCGTAGACTTGAAATGAATTTAACAAATACCATTTTCCCCTTAAAATTCCCGTTAAACGATATGGTCCATAACTTGTTCGGCAAACTAAAAATTATATACAAGTATTTATAAATGAAGAAACAGCTTTACAAATAAATTATTATAAGCAGTAGATATAACAACAGTAGAGTATTTATGTAGTATAAGTAATGAAAAGACTAAAAAGGAAGAACGAAAAAAAAACAAAAATAAGATTTAAGTAAAATATAAGCTAGAAAAAAAACAAAATAAACAATAAAATGCAATAAAACATATACAAAATATAAAACTTTATTTAATAAAAAAATTAATGAATTAAAGTAAAATAAATAAAAAATAAAATGAAAAACATTAAAAAAATTATACAAAGTAACAGAAATTAAATGAAAAAAAAAAATATTTCATAAAAAAAGTAAAGAAAATAACACAAAAAACAAAATCGGAGCAAATAAACTAAAATGAAATTGAATAAAAAAATAAAATTTAAATAAAACTTGAAATAAAAGTAAATTAAAATATATAATAATATTAAAATTAAATAAAGTGAAATTAAAAAAAAAATAATATAAAATAAAAAAAAAATAATATAAAATAAAACAAAATAATAAAAAACAATCAGATAATACATCCAAAAAATTATATATTATTAAATAAAAAAAATGAAATTACACAATAAAAATTATAAAAATTAAAATTAATTAATTAAATATATAAAATAAAATTCAAAAATGAAATCAAAATATATGAGTTATAATAAAATAAAAAACAATATATTAATACAAAATAAAATAAAACAAATATTATAGAATAAATAAATTAAACATAAAAAATGTCATAATAAGATAAAATGAAATAAAAGAGTAGAATTAATTAAATTATTATAACATAAAATAAATATTAAATAAAAAATGAATTAAATAAAATAAAAAAATAAATGAAGTTAAAGTAAAATCAAATACAATCTATCAAATTCAAATAAATAAATAAAAAAATAAAATAAATTAAAAATAAAATATGTCAAACAGAAACCAAATCAAATAAATTAAATATAAATTAATCGAATAAAGTAAGGTAAAATAAAAATATAAACAAATTGAATAAAATAAGTTAAACTTATCAAAATGATACAAATTAAAGTAAACAACTTAATTTAGTTATAATAGAATAGAATAAGCGAAAAATAAAATTAAACAATGTAAAACAAAATAAATGCATGAAAAATAAACAAAAGAGTAAATTAAACTAAAATTAAAATATATAAAAAAGAATAAAAATAAAAATAAATAATTAAAACCAATAAAATAGACAAAATTATAAAAAAATAAAATTCGAATAGTAAAATAAATAAAAAGGTAAAATTAATTAAAATTAAAATATATCGAACTGAAATCAAAGTCAATAAATTAAACCTATCAAAGTAATATAAAATAAAAAAATTAAATATAAATTAAAATAAAAAAATCAATTAAATGACAATAGAATAAAATAAGCAAAAAATAAAACTAAATAAAGTAAAATAAAATAAATGAATAAAAAATAAATATATGAATAAACATAATTGAAATTATAACATATCAAAATGAATTAAAATAAAATATAAAAAATGAAAGTAAATATAATAAAGAAAATTATAATAAAATAAAAATAAATAATAAAGATAAAATAAAATAAAATTAAAATATATCAAACTGAAATCAAGTAAAATAAATTAAATAGAAGAAATTATAAAAATAAAATAAAATGAAACAAAATTGAAAATTAAAATGAAATGAAGTAAAATATATACTAATTAAGTACAAAAAAAAATTAAAATTGGAATAAAATTTTTATTATTTTAAATAAAAGGAAATAAAATAAATTAAATGTAAACAAAATGAATTAAAATAACGGTATACAAAATAAATATAATGCATAAATTAAAAACTAATTAAAAAAGAAAATATAATAAAGAGAAAAATAAGGTAAAAAGGCAAAGTAATATAAAATAAGGGGAAATTAAGTGGAAACAAATAAATTTTAAATAAATTGAAAATAGTAAAATCAAATAAAATCAAATACAACCGAAAAAAATTAAGAAAAAATGAAAGAAATTAATTAAACTATACCAATAAATTTAAAACTTTTAAAACTTGTTCATAAATTTCAATAAAATAGTAAACTAATATTAAATAAAAATCCTTAGAATAAATGAGATTAAATTAAAGTAAGAAAAGTGAAATGAAATACATATAAAACAAAAGAATAAAAAATAAAAAAAAAATAATATAAAATATATTAATATATTTAAAATTTATCCACACATTCTAATAAAAAAAAAGAAAAGAAAAATAAAATAAAATATGGTAAAAAGTTCAAAATTAACCTTAAATTTTTATTTCAGTTATGATTTGCTTATCTTATACTATTCGCAATTGAAACTAGTTTATAAGTAAATGCTAAAAAGGAGCATGTATAAATATACTGTAATACATATTATTGTATTACTTCTGTAAATATCTTGTATATTCAAGCAAGTACATGGGATCTTGGAGAAGTCCGCTCGGTGTGTATGTTGATTAAAAGTGAAAAAAATCTATGTTTAATTATAAAAACAAAAATCTAAAAATTATAAAGTTATTACTAGCACATAGAATTCCCATAGAAACCACAAACAAATACGATTATTTTTTAATTAACAACAAAGGGCAAACAAATTTGGGAATGATAACGAAAACCAATATAGATATGTATGTATGTATAATTACTTATATTTGAACTAATTGAATGAACTAATTAAAAGATGACTTAACTGCTTATATGAATTTGAAGCAAATAAAATTAAATAAAAACCGAAATTTACGAAGAAATTGTTTATTTAACAAAATCGAAAGATCATCAGTTACCGCTGCCCCATGAACTCTAACATTGCGCTAACTATAGATAACCATAGATAGATAACCATAACCATTGTGCTGCCAAAGCGTGCTGTTCAAGAAACTTGAAAGTAATAAATACTCATAATGACAACAAATCACTAAATGATTTTGTCATTTCGGCAGTGCGACACGCCTTCTTTTGACATTTCAGAGTTACAAAAAGGCAGAGTGGAACATAAATTTAATTCGTCGCTTATCGCCATCGCCAGTTAATGGATTTTAATCGCAAAATTATGACCTAACGGCACTAGCTTTCTAATTTGAGAATAGCCAAGTTGTCACGCGTTTTATGTGCACCTTGGATCTTATCGTAAAAATATTTTTAGGCTATAAAGATCGACTTACGAGTATAAACATCAGTCTGTATCAACTATCTCTTCAGGTGTCAGAAAACTTGATCTCATAGTTTATTCGCTATGCATCAGGACTATACACAATGGATCACTCATCATTCAGTCAATGTGTAAGAGTTCGAATTGTCCTCCTGAAGATAGATGCGTTTCAGACGATTGATTTTCCTGATTTCAAATGTTTGTGTAACTCAGAATGTAATGTTCAGCGTTCTTCTGGTCACAAGGTTGGAATATGTCCTGTTTTTACAATTGCGTGGAAGTGCTTCGTGCGTGAATAACATTTGCTGTTTACACTTTCGAGCTCATATGCCTAAATTCAGAACTAATCAGCTTCACGATGCCTTAAACGTGTTTCAAAGCATAGCTATCGTATTTTGTTCACATTTTTCGAACGTGAACATATTTACAGTCAAATTCAGTTCAATATTGAGTGTATGCTGGTCCCACTAATGTTTACAGCTGTCTTAATCTCACCTTAAGTCATAGGTCGATCTTGCAGTATCAGTTTGCGCAGAGCATCAATAGTTTCCGGAACAGCAACTGATTTTGGGCGATCTTCTCGAAGTTATCTCGGAGTAATCTACGACCTCCATCACGAATGAAAACAATATCATCATAACATCGATAAAAATTGGTCTATAATAAAGCAGTTACAGAGTTTTCGAAGGGCTTATATCCTGGAGTTTCACTTTCCCTCTATGCACTCAATATACACTGAACCTCCGTCTCCAGAACAGCTTTCTCGTTCTAATTGAGGTAGAAGTTCCGGCCTTAAAATCCTCAGAAAAAATGCGTTATTTGTTTGATAATAAGTAATTTTCCGCGCAGCTCATTGTTGACAAAACTTATTGATCTTTTGAGCATCAGATCTCCTAAAATAGATCAGGCTTAAATCGCAAATTTTTTTTTTCATTAGCGCTTATTGTTGCCGCCTTATCACAAGCAAAGAGTGGAAGAAAACGTGTCGCGCAGTAATATTTCTTATCAATTTAATTCAATTATAATGACTTGTATGATTACACGTATATATGTAAGTCCGTATAAATCATTAGCTCTCCATAAAGGGTGACGGGAAAACAAAGTGTGCGCACGCTGAGGTGCCATACTAGGATATAATACCTACTTATGTTACGCTTGAAAAGCAAAGTCCTCTCTTGACGAACGTAAACCAAACTCCACAAGCCCCTCATTCTTCTCGTCCTACTATATGGTGCGGAGGCATGGACGATGACAACATCTGATGATTCGGCGTTAGGAGTATTCGAGAGAAAGGTTTTGCATAAGATTTGTGGTTCTCTACGGGTAGGGAACGTCGAATACCGCAGCCGATGGAATGCAGAGCTATATGAGTTAAACGGTGAAAATTACATATTTAGTTCAGCGAATCAAGAAACAGCGGCATGCGCTGACAAAATCATATGGTCCGCATGGATAAGAAAACTCCAGCTTTGAAAGTTTTCGATGCAGTAACTGCCGGCGGAAGCAGAGAAAGATTAAGACCTGCACTTCGTTGGAACGACCAGGTAGAAAAGGACCATGCTGTACGTGGTATCTCCAATCGGCGCCAAACAGCGAAAAGAAGAATTTCAATGGCGCAAGGTTATAAATTCGGCAATAATCTCGTAAGCGGTAAGAAGAAGTAGATGTATTCGATTGTAGGACGAAAGTTTTGAGTTAAATGAACCGAAATAAAAAACTTCAATTAGTCAGTGTGATTCTTTGCTGGAACGAGGATATTCACAAGATTCGATTCGATTGTTTTGTCAGCTGATCTTGTGCAGAATAATGGAGTAGGCCATTATTATTTTGAATCTGGTGCAATTCGTTCGTAGCGCTCTTCTAAAGAAGAAGAAGAAGAACAAAAATTTACTCATGGCAACTAAACTGCAACGTAAGGCGCGGTCCTTCTTGCGTTTCCTCCAGCAAAACACATTGACTTCACTCACCCTGTTTTTATAGTATATTCACATGTATATATGTATGTCACTTCGTCTATAATCAACATTCGGTGATTATTAGTTAAACGACGGAACTGATACTACACCACTTTGTTGTTGTTGTGCACAAACAATTAATAGCATATATTTTGTTAATACACGAGCAAATATTGGTCAGTCTAGTTGAAACAGAAGAACGATTAAGTGCTGATAGTTTAGAAAATAAGGGAAGAACACACACGCTCGCTCTACAGGAAGATTTCTGGTGCGCCGCAATTAAAGTGAAATAAAAAAAATTAAAAAAAAAAAAATGCCATCCGGTGAGCAAAATGGTGACACACCTGTAAAGAATCCATTAACTGTACCAAGGGCAAAGTGTAACGATAGTGCGAATATTAAAGTCGATAACGGTAATAAAACCATTAAAGCCAAATATGTAATACATAGTAGTGGTACAGTTCTATTGCCGAATCATGACATACCGATTCCAACAAAGTTCAATACCTCCGATAATATACTAGATCCCTTTTGTGATCCTGCGAAGCCACAAAAAATATCCTTTCACGATGTGACCTCCGCGGCATTTCTGATTAAGGATGGTGTGGTGAGAACACCATGTCCGGTAAGTGAAAAAAAGGCGAAATAAATAATTTTATAATTTTATATAAACGTATATAAGGTTTTATGTATGTATGTATGTATGCAAGAAAACTTGTGGTTTAAGAATGTTATACAAAACGAAATGAATTTCAATGGCGCAGTTTTGAAAAATAAAAAATAAAAATCGAAAGTTTATTTCAAATAATTTAAGAAATACATATTTTTGCATTAATATGTTTTGTTGATTAATATATGTATGTATGTAGATTATAAATGCTTAAGTTGATCTGAGAAAAAGTGAGCTTGATACAGATTTTTGCGATAATAAAGATTCTATTCTGAAAATGTATTTTAAAATTAAAAATATAATTACGTATGTAGATCAAGGTTACATATGTATAAACGAGTGTACAAATTTGTTCAAAATAAAAATATTATTGTACAGATAATTATTGTTTTTTTTTTTTTTTTTTTTTTTTTTTTTTTTTTTTTTTTTTTTTTTTTTTTTTTTTTTTAGAGATTTTTCAATATTTTGGGCGCAATAATTTTTGATAATTTTTTTTCATGTGGAAAATTCGCAAAATTATTATTGTAATTTTTGGTTTTTTATGGTACTGTTTCAGACCATATATTTTTGGGAATACGTGAAAAATTTACTACAATAGTTTTTGACGGTAGAAGTTATAGCTGCTATTTCGGAAACCGCCACGTTTCCTCAACAGACTTCTTTTTCCAGACACCTTTTGTTTGAATAGGATTCGAGCTTGGGATTATTATTATTATTTGATTTGAGTTTTTTTGAAAAACAAAAATTAAGTTTGTTATCATTAAATTGAGAGCTTAATTTACCATAGAATTTATGTGAAATATGTACCCTTTTGCTCGATAACTTTTACAGAATTTGATGATAAGGACATTATTTATGCCTCTCTCATGAAAACTTTTGTCACTATCGGTAAAAAATTGAAACAATCGATTTTCTCAGACTCCTCTCGCTATAGGAAGCAACGGATAGATGGTAGTCATTTGGTGCGAGGTCCGGACTATAAAATTAAAGCATAAGAACCTCCCAACTCAACAGCCCTGGCGAGTGACTATAGATGTTTATGTGGTTCGGCGTTGTCCTGATGAACCACAATTCCTCTCCTGTTTACCAACGCTGAGCGTTTTTGAGCTATTGCTACCTTCAAACGGTCAAATTTGCTGGCAATACAGGTCCGAGTTAAGAGTTTGGCATGCATTTATATTTGATTAATTGGGACAGTAGCTCATAGTGGATGCCAGCCACATCAAACACATAACAAAACCTTTTTGGACATCAATTCTGTCGTGGAGACCTTTTGTGCCGACTCGCGGCCTTTTAACCGCGAACGCTTTCAGATGGAAATTCGCTTTATGAGGTATTTTCTCGATAATCAAGTGGTTCCAAACTAATTTTTGTGCAATGATTAGCTTCTGAGAAATCGAAACAGTGCTCGCATGACGGTCAGACACGAAGATTTTGCTTATTTTATCTACATTTTTGACAATTGGTATTCCATGCCGTGGAGCATCTGTCACATCAAAATTGTCAGAATGAAATTTTTGTTACTGAAGATTACTGAAATTTTTCTCTTGCCAGATTTTAAAAGTATTCATACATGATGTGAAAAGATTCGTCTTAATTTAAATATTTTCTATGAAAGTATCGCATGCGTGTAATTTGTTTTGAAAGAATATCGCATGATAGAAAGTTTTTGTGTTAAAAATTATACAAAATCATTAAATATCAGAGAAAACTAAGGTATAAAATTTGATTTTAATTATTTTACATAATTTTCAGCGTTCCACGTCATCTGACTCGTATGGCATGGATTTGTATTTGAAAAAGGATTTCCAGCAAGTAACTGGCAGGTAAGTGTGTATGACATATGTATTTGTATAAGAATAACAAATATTAAACAAAATGAACATATATATCTATATAAGTATATAATATATATATATATATATACATATTTATGTATTTGCAAAACATCAAGTTGTTATTAAAATGTTACACATGACTACTTATCTCTTATCAGCAGCGGCTACGAGGAGTCTTCCACCAACTAAATGATTTACAAGTCCAAAGGGCATCATTAAAGATGAATATATACATGCATATTTGATTAAGGGGTACATCCAGTCTAGGGGTTGAAAAGCAGATTTGTTTTTAGAAATCTGTTGTAGGCATATGGGAAATGGAATAGAATTTCTATTTAAAAAAATTAAATTTTTCAAAAACCGGCTACGTATGTAAATATTGGATGAGTGCATAAGTTCGTGCCCGATTTCAAGGGCAAACTAAAATTGAAATTTTTTGAAGAAAGCGCTTTTATTAATCACTTATGTATCGCCATCATGTTCGGCAATCCACCCCCAACGTTCAACCAATTTACGGATGCCTGATTCATAGAAATCGCGCGGTTTCTCGTCGAAAAAGGTGTCAAGGTGGTTTTTGACGTCTTCCACATTTTTAAATTTTTTTCCATTCAAATTGTTCTGCAGCGATCGAAACAAATGATAATCAGAAGGTGCAATGTCGGGTGAATATGGGGGATGCGGCATGATTTCCCAATTCATCTCCTTCAGTTTGGCCAGGGTCGGTTTTGCAACATGTGGCCTGGCGTTGTCATGATGGAAAAGAACTCCTTTGCGATTGGCCAAAATCGGACGTTTTTCATCAATTGCTTTCTTCAATTCGACCAATTGCTGACAATACTTGTTGGCAGTGATCGTTTCTCCAGCTGGCAAGAGCTCAAAATAGATCACGCCTCGGATATCCCACCAAATGCACAGCAGTACCTTCATCGGATGCAATCCACCTTTCGACATCGGTTCCGCCCCTTCGTGTGCCTGTTTCCATGTTCTTTTGCGTTGAACATTGTTGTACAGGATCCATTTTTCATCACCAGTCACGAGCCGATCCAAAAAAGGTTCGTTTTTGATCCGTCGAAGCAAAGAAATTGCTGTAAAGAAATTGACATACGGTCCACTTCGTTTTTTTCACTCAACTGATGTGGCACCCATGTATCGAGCATCAAGCTCAGAAGGCCGTCCACTGCGAGGTTGATCTTCTGTTTTTCCTTTGCGGAATTCGTATAACATAATATGACGCATATGATCTTTTTCGTTGTCCATCTTCCATGCGTCTTTTCACTAAGCAACTCAAATCAAAATGAAGTTATTGTATTTTATGCTTGATTTACAGTTCGGACTGTCACCTTTCCAACGATATATAACATGTATATATTTCTTTCACGAGCGCCACTCTCATACGATTCGAACGGCATCCAGCGGAATCGAGCACGAACTCCAATATTTGTTAAGCTACCATCGAATTTTCAGATGAATCAATATAGTAGGGTTCGAATAATCTGTCCTCCCAATTTGAAGAATGTGATTTTAAGAAAAACACATTTAAAGTTTTCATTGCACTCAGCGTGAGGGGCTGAAGCAAAATAAAAAGTTCGGTTATTTGAAATATATTTTTCACTTTAAAAGCAATTGTATATAATTTCTAGGACCCGAAGGTACACTGAGTGACTTTACCCCCCTTAATTGATCCGTTCAAAATCTCTGAGCAACACGAGGTGTATATAGTGATTGAGCCACTTTGTCAGCGTCATTTTTCCAAGCTATATCCAATCAATGATAGGGTATTCAGTCACTATCTCCTATGCTGTGATATTTTCTAATATGAAGAAGTCTATGGTCCTTGGTAAGCCAAGTGCATACGTCGTTTTCGAACATAATTTTATGTTTTCTATTGTTATTCTATAAGGCTGACAGTCCATAATTATCTGAAGCCGTTAAAAAGAATTACCCAGTTTTTGTTGTTGTATTAGTGGTTTACATGTCCCGCTTAGGGACAGGTTTAATCAATCTAAGTCGCCGAGGTTATCTAATGAGAGGTCCTGGAAACGTGCTGTTTCGACTGGATAGGACATGAGAGATGTGTCGGCTTAAGGGGGCATATGAAGAGGTGGTTAGTGTCGTGCGGAGACTCTCCACATGCAGGGCATAAGTTGGGTATGCTGGGGTCGAGTCTGGATAGGTAGGAGTTTAACCTGCTACAGTATCCAGATCTAAGTTGTGCCAAGAAAGAATTACTCTGCTTAGGTAAAGATGATTTTTTATTTTTTTTTATTCAAATTTTCAATGCTACTTTTCACATATTTTCTTTTTTCATATTATTTCTTTCCATTTTTTAACCTACTTCAATATATTTAGTATAATTTTATTTCCTTTTATTTTAGATTTTATTTGATTTAACTTTATTTTTTGTTTTATTTCGTATAATTTCATTTAAGGCGATTTATTTCATTTAATATTTTTTTGTTTTGTTTTATTTATTTTGTTTATTTTATTTTATTTTGTTTTATTATATTTTATTTTATTTTATTTTCTTTTATTTTGTTTTATTTTATTTTATTTTATTTTATTTTATTTTATTTTATTTTATTTTATTTTATTTTATTTTATTTTATTTTATTTAATTTTATTTTATTTTAATTTTTTTATTTTATTTTATTTTATTTTATTTTATTTTATTTTATTTAATGTAATTTAACTTTAGTTCATTTAATAATACGTTACTTATTTATATAATTTATTTTATTTATATTAATTAATTTTTTTAATATTTATTTCTTTTGTTTGATTTGGTTCTTCTTTGTTTGTATAAAAATTCCAGTTTTGTTGTTTCAAAATATCGTTAATCTCTCAAATGCTTTTCCTTCAGTTTCAAAGAGCGTGGCGCTCGCTATGCTCTTCTTTGCCTCTCCGAAGACCAGAAGCGGACTGGAGTGATATCAGCCTCACTAGGAAATCATGCCCAGGTTAGTCTTTTCTGCCATAAAACCACAATTGTAATACCAATTATTAACCGTACAATCATTATATCGGCAGGCCCTAAGTTATCATGGCTGGAAACTGAATATACCCGTCACAGTGGTGATGCCAAAGGCGGCGCCAATAATGAAAATTCAAAAATGTCGCAATTATAAGGCTACTGTGATTGTTGAGGGCAAGGATATGGCTGAGGCAAAGGCGTTGGCACTAAAAATGGCACAGGATAAAGGTTTGCTTTACATCAATGGCTACGATCATCCACACATTATGGCGGGTCAGGGTACCATTGGTTTAGAGATTTTGGAGCAAGTGCCCAATCCCGATGCTGTGATTATACCTGTTGGTGGTGGTGGACTTATAGCTGGCATTGCAACAGCCATTAAGGCACTATCCCCTGCTACAACCGTAATTGTGCGTAAAGATTTAACGTTAATTAATTGTATTTTCGATAATAATCTCTTTTAAATGTCAGGGCGTGGAGTCTGAAAAATGTCCCAGCTTTTCGCAGGCCATGGAAAATAATGGACCGGTACACACACCCATAAATAATACCTTAGCAGATGGTTTGGCTGTGCCTAAAGTGGGTTATAATGCTTATGTCACTGCTCTTCCACTCATCGATAAGATGGTAGTGGTGAAGGAGGAATGGATTGCTTTGGCCATACTGCGTCTGGTGGAGGAGGAGAAGTGTGTGGTAGAAGGTGCTGGCGCTGCAGGACTGGGAGCTATATTAGCGGGCCAATTGAATGAGTTGAAGGGCAAAAAGTGAGTTAATCAGTGGAAATTTATAAAATTTATCACTCGCAAATGTTATTTCCGCAGAGTTGTAATTCTCCTATGCGGCGGTAATATAGACACAACCGTATTTGGTCGCTGCTTAGAGCGCGGTCTTGCCGCCGAGGGACGCTTGGTTAAATTTCTAGCTGAAGTCAGTGATCGTCCTGGTGGCATACATGAACTCTGCAAACTACTCTCACATTTGGGTGTCTCGATTAAGGACATCATGCATGAACGCGCTTGGCTGAAGGATATTTACACTGTGGAGGTGAGTCAAAGGAACTTGCTTATTTGTGGTTTTTATCATTCTAATCTGCTCGTGCTTTTATATAGGTTAAAGTCGTCTGTGAAACACGTGACTGGGCTCATAGCATGGAATTGAAAAATGAGTTAAAGAAACATTACACAAGAGTTGAGTTCTCTGAGGAACCTTTGGCCATAAATTACAGCGTAGCTTCTTAAGAAATTTTCGTAAATTATTTAACACATAACTATGTACACGCTTACATACTTTTAATAACTTTTGATTTTAATTTATAAAGCAATAATAAAGAAATAAAATATATTTTACACATAGGCCTTCATGAATAGTGATTCTGCCGAAAATCTAAAGCATCCGCTTTCTGAAGAGTTGAAAAAGCTAAGTAATCTTGCGCTTGCTTTCTCACTCAGATCCTAGAGAGAAAACTTAAAGGATTGAGGTCCTTATTCATCCTTACAGCCTCTGTTGATGTCATTCGCAGAAATGCTCAATCCTTACGTGTCAACAAATAAATAAATAAGAAGGCTCATGATAGGGGATATCATTTTATAGCGCGATAACCTCAATTGATCTTCAACTTTCGACAGCACGCCGCTCAGCCGCTCTGTCTGAGTTTGGTATTTCCTCAAAACTTATAAGTCTATGCAAACTGACGTTTGTTGCATAAAAAGCTCTGCCAGAACTAGAAGGAACCTTTCCGAAATGACCTGTTCGGCTTCAGACAATGTGATTTTTTTAATTTTGGAGAAAAATTATAAACATAGAAGGTGTAATCTTCTATAAGAGCATACAACTGCTGGCATACGCTGTAAGTTCTGTTTCCTCGAGATGGAATAAGGAAACGTGGCAAGACGAAATCTCTCCTGGCCGATTTCGTCTATCTAGGAACCAACATTAACACCTCGGCGCTAGGAGTTTTCGAGAGAGAGAGTTGGCGAATGATTCAGCGCAGAGGAGCGTTGGTAAGGGCGAATACCGCAGACAATGGAACGATGGTTTGTACAAGATATACGGTGACATTGACATAGTTCAGCAAATCAAGAGATAACTTTTACGCTGACTATAAGAAGTTTGTTCCCTCTCTTTTAATTGCCGCATTGCTGAAATGATGTTCGATCAAACCGGCCGGCAGTTACTTCTAAATTGCCTCCGAAGGACCGATTCATGGGAAGCTTTTTTATTTCATATCAAAGTTGAACCCTCCCCACTTTCTCTAAGTTAGAAAAATCAATTTTCTGTAATTCTGCATATTAGTTGTAGCGACGTCTCAAACAAATGGCCCACCGCGTGTATGAATTGGGTAGGGTATTGTAGCCGCAGCTTACTCTAAGCCGATTTATTTCAGCTTAGAGAAGTTTCTAGAAGCATAAAGTATATTAAATAAGAACGACAAAATAGTCTTAAGAGACGACAATGTAAGATGGAACAACCTGACGGATTCTCAAGCGGACAAAGTACTGTTCGATGGTACATTTTCTTCAACTTCTCAAGTCCCAGAAATGAAATTTATTTTTTATGACTCTTCTATAATTAGTTCAGTAATTCAGCTCGTACCACCGCATGTGGGTTTGAATCTTACGTTAATGGATTTTTGAACAGCTCATCGCATCGCAACATGATATCCATAGAAATCAGATTGGGCAGAACAGCCTCGATAGTTCTTCTTTTTTAAATAAATAATTTTGGTGTTTAATTTAGTGCTCTTTGATGGATTATGTTATGGAGCCTCCCCAAGAGATACTTGGGCTTAACCTTGTACTCTTTAGAAGACTTTTTAACCAAAAAATATTGAGGGGTTCCGAAAAAAATCTCTTTCTTCAAGCAAAAGTGATCTACTGTACAATGAATGCTTTTTTTTATAATTTACTAGTATTTTAAAAATATATTTTATTTCCAGCAACCTTCATAAGAAAGCGTAAAATTTATAAATATTTTTTTAACGTTTTGACTTTTGTCATTCTCTTGTTTTTGTTTTTTAAAAGCTCAATTCATTATTTAATCGTGAGCTCAATTTAATGTTAAATTTTTAATTTTTTGAATTTAAATAGTTTTCCAAGGAAAGCTCCAAAGCTGTCCCAGATTACTTATAATGGATGATGACATAATCGATATCCATTGTGATCCGAAAAATCCGCGAGAAATAAAATTTGAAGACATCACTACGGCCGACTTATTGCTAATGGACGAAGTGCTGAAGACGCCTTGCACGGTAGGTCTCTTCGTTGTATTTGATAGGGAAAAATGTTATTGTAAAGCTCAAAAGCGATCAATTAATTAAATAATCCACACCTTAGCGTGCTATGAATTGCATAGAATACGATATGGATTTGATTTTCAAAAAAGAATTCCTGCAGCCCACGGGAAGGTAAGTTTGTGGAATAACTTATATTATGAGATTACGAGTGCGAGTTACTTCAAGTTTTATTAAGAGGTTATATGGGTTTCCCAACTGCAAAAAAATCGATTTTTTCCATCTCGAGAAGATCTGCCAAACTTTTCAGTTCATTCGAATAACAGTTTCAGCCTTGACAACGCGCGCTCAGAGGCAGGTAAGCTCAGCGGTTTCAATTTTAGACGTATTTTTTCTACAAACCGAGTTATACTGCCAACGGAAGTTCTTTCTCGAAGGTATATTCTTTAGATGATCAAAAGTTTGAATAGAATATCTTATTTTTTAAATGAAAAAGAAGTCTCGTAATTAGGCCTCAAGTAAGCCCATGTAACCCATCAAGAGTTACTGATAAAGATAATATTTCCAGGCACTCGCCTTCTGTTACCTGGATTTAGCCTTCTTTTTCACTGCAATTTATGTATTTTAAAATTTTGTGAATCTGTTGAATTGGGGTTCATTACTCCGAAAGTGGCCGCGGCGGCCGAGTGGTTAGCATTTCGTACTGCCATCCGGAAGTCTCTGGCTGGAATCGTGGTACCACCAACATCCCTATCGACAGGGATTGTCATGAAATGTATTTCTGTCATGAAATAAAAACTCCTCAAAAAAACCATCAGTCGTTCGGAGGCGGCTTAGTATAAACTGTGGTTCCTTCCATTTGTTGGAAAAGGTATTTAGATGCAAAACCACAAATTGGATGAGAAGCTCGGCCAAAAATCGCTTTAGCGGTTCAAAAGCGACAATTATATATTACTCTGAAAGGGTAAATTTAAAGAGATAAGACGTTGATCAGCGCTAAATTGGGTTTGGGATCACCTGTAATTTATTCTTTGTGAGAGGACGCCATGAGCGAGTGTTTGCTTTGTGTACTATCATTCGGAAGGTGAGGATGCGAGTGCTCTTCCGACTAACATTCAAATTAGACATACTAATTTTTGTGCTATTCATGTTAGCATCAGGAAAAGAACAGATAGACCCATAAAATGTATGCCGATCAGATCAGAAGGAATTGAGAATATTCGGTCATGACCGTCGGTCGTCTTCCGTCCGTATGCAAATTAGTCGTTTTTTTTTAAATTATTTCAATAGAGTTTGATACACAAATGTTTTTTTGACTCAAAAGATCATTTGTCAGAGCCGGCCGGATCAGTTTGCTCTATCATCTACGAGTACATCAAAAAAGCTTCTAAGACAATAGATTTGGTATTGTCCAATATAAATAAATATTAATCCTGAAAATCATCGGTATCGAATTTTGAAATAATTTTGATATTATTCTTAAAGGAATAGAGACTTCATAATTACCAAAGACAACACTTCTTTCTGCTTCTAATTCGACCGAACCTCGGTAGGGAACGTTAAGCTCTCTGAGTGTATTTCTGACGTGGATTAAAAGCTCTTCGTGAAAAACCATTGGCCGTTCGGAGGTGGCTTAGGACACTTCATTTATTGGGAAAACATCAAGACGCACGAGACAAGTTGGTGAAGGAACTCGGCCAATTATATATATGTACAAATATGAGTGAGGTTGATTCCTTTAAAAGAAGAGTTTACGTTGGCTACAAGCAATGAGTAGGTTTTTATTGTATTAAAACTTCGCTAACGACTTATGGACCTTTGCGTATCAGAGACGGCGGATCGAAGTAGAAGATAGAATGGAGAGCAGTACGGTATATGCGAAGACATTAATTAGTTTAATTGGAAAATATTCTATGCAGTACTCGCTGGTGGAAGCAAGGGAAGTAAAAGACCTGGAATGATCAACTAGAGAAGAACCTGGCTTCAGTTGGTGTCTCCATTTGCATTGTACGGAGCAAAGGAAAGCAAAACTAGCGTGCAGTCGTGGAAAAAGAAGAAGTTTTCTCCAAAGTTACTGAATTATTTTATTAAACAAAAACTATAACTTTTATTTCTCTTTTCTCGCCCACAGTTTCCAGTCGCGAGGCGCACGGCATGCGTTACGCTTGCTCTCCGATGAAAAGAAGCGTCGCGGCGTCATAACTGCATCGACGGGAAATCATGCATTGGTAAGTCCACACATTTCGCTTTCGAACCCTCTCAAAGTATCAATTTTCACACAGGCCATCAGCTATCAAGGGAATGAACTAAATATACCAGTGACCGTTGTGGTGCCCACTAGTACAGCCGCTTCGAAAATCGAAAAATGTCGCTCATATAAAGCGCATGTTATAATCGAGGGTCGTGATATTGGTGAGTCGAGGATTGTTGCATTGGTTTTGGCGAGAGAGCGTCGCTTGGAATTCATTAACGGCTCCGATCATACGCACATAATTGCCGCTAATGGCACGATTGCCTTTGAGATATTAAAACAAGTACCAAAAGTGGATGCCATTGTGGTGCCCGTTGGTGGTGGTGGTCTGCTAGCTGGCATAGCTAAAGCATTAAAGACCGTCTCACCACAGACACAAGTCATAGTGAGCTCAAAGTGTGGGGACTTAGTAAAGAACTTCTCATCAAAAGCAACTATCTTCTTCATTTTCGCAGGGCGTCGAGTTAGAGAAGTGTCCCAGCTTTCAGCGTGCTATGGCAAATGAGTCGCCTGTTTATACGCCACCGAATAGCTCGTTAGCTGAGGGCTTACTGGTGCCAAAAGTTGGCTACAACGCCTTCGCCACGGCAGCTGTGTTGCTCGATAAATTGGTGGTGGTGCGTGAAGCTTGGGTGGCATTAGCTATGCTGCGACTGCTGTTGGAAGAGGAGTGTGTTGTTGAGGGCGCTGGCGCAGTGGGTTTGGCTGCCGTACTATCGGGTCAGTTGAATGAGTTCAAGAAGAAAAGGTAAAAATTAAATCATAAGTAAGGGAGCTACAATAAGGTTCTATTTTATCTTTCACAGAGTTGTCGTACTACTCAGTGGTAGCAATACGGATGCCGTTGCTTATGGTCGCGCCCTGGAACGTGGTATGGCTGTCGAACGTCGCCTATTAAGCGAAGATCACGATGTTTGCGGTGCCATAACACTTTTCGAAAAACTTGAAAAACTCGATTTAAATGTGCATCAAATCATGTCCGAATGCGTATGGCTGCCATCTGCTTATAAAATGGAAATGGGTAAGAGTTAATACGGAAGCACTGACTGGCTCTATATTGGTAGTATTTTCGGGAAATCGATCTATATCAAATCAAGACCTTGAGCTGTTCCCTGAGACCTTTGACCTTAATGAGTAGATAATGTGGTAAGTAGGCTAAATATCTGCTAATCTCCACTAGCGTAATTGGGGTGGTTGCTTGAAAGGGTAGGTCGAGGAATCGACCTTAAGGAGCCGTACTTAAGCCAAGAAGAAAGCTCCATTTGCTCCCTTCAGGTATTCCAAATTTGCTGAATTTTAGGGATTTCCTTAGTTCCTTCTCTACCACGCATGCCCTGAAGGCTGGGGTTGGCAGTGTCGTGAAAGATGCGATGTCCCAAACTGCTGATTATCGATTATTATTAAAAGTTGTGCTACAGAGTCGCGTTATTTCTCTACTCACACATTTCGCTTTTATGTTGAAACACTTATTTATATATATAATTATCGCTTTGTAAGGGCCTGTCTTCTCCTCCAATTTGTGGTTTTAGTTTCCAACAAATGAAGGGACCTACAGTTCATACTAAGCCGCATCCGAACGGTCGATGGTTTTTTTTAAGAGCAGTCATTATTTCATGTCAAAAGGGAGGGGGAGGGGAGTGATATTCCCACCAGAGAGATGGCTGTAATTAGAAAACAGATACCTAATAAATTTTAGCATTACCTGCTTCTCTACCCCACCTACCTCAGATTGAGCACTGTCTAGGAGACCTCCATACTATGCAGGTCGCCACTTACGGTACTCAGCTCTGAATTGGACTGAGGAGAAGAGAATAAGAGACTTACCACTCACGGGTTGTAGAAATGGCTAAAAATCCAGGTCGATGCCGAACATAATGGCATCTCCTTCCGAAGTGTCGTCGCAATGGCATACTTTTCATAGATCTTCTCTCAATTCTTTGTTAATTCTTTGTTGTCTTTATACCGGAACGATCCGGATTTTTGTATCCGACAAAGGACTGCCACTCCCGCAACATTCCCCAAAAATTACTTTGAGAAATATTTTTGCGGTTACAACAACAACAACAACAACAACAACAGTATAGATCTGAAAAACAAGCTCGTGTAAAGCTGGAGACAATATGAGGTCTTATGGATCAACCAGGGTGCCACCAAACGCTACCTCCGACGACATGCTCCCTCCGATCCTCTAAGGTCACATTCCCGTACGACCTTCAGTCCATCATTGCACCTTCAGTAGCACCACATATTCCAGAGGCTCCTGACGCTGCAGATACATCATTATCCCTCACATCCGGACTCTTGGGAGTGGAGTGGGTTTTCTGTTTTTTGGTTGGTTTAATCTCCTTAGTCGCGCGAAGCTATTTTCTGATATCTGAAGACCTTGGATCCATTTTGTTCCCAGCATCACTCACCGTTCGGCTGGGTCCCCATCCAAACCTCTTCTTTTCCCAGCACTGGCGTGGAATCGGCTATAGTAAAGCTTTACGCGTACAACTCACCAATATGGGAGTCGCTAGTAAGTAAACTTGTTGGGAAGAGAGGCTTTAAAACTACAGTAGTCTTCCTCGACTACCTCCTAAAATTTGCAATTAACTTTTCATCTAGGTAGGTTGAAATAGGTCCAGAACGAAATTACTTACATTAAAACCCGATTTTATTTAATGCCAAGCCTCAGATCAAGAAGAAAGACCTTCATATCTAACTCTCTCGAAAAGCCTTTACATGCCTCTGTCTTTCAGAGCAACGTAAAAAGGGTACTTGCCAACTGCTCTCATTCTCCGCACTGAAAACCCAGACAGAAGAAGTTGTAAAAGAGGAAAAAGAACTCCAAGACCCAAGAACTTCCAAGATTCAAGAAAGAAACCACATGGAGACAGTTAGAGACAATCAAAAAGCAACACCAAAAAACGTACAGGACGTTGGCGCTATAGAGGAAACACCGAAACCCGTGCATGTCGCTATGAAACCGAAAAAATTTCTGGCGCTAAATAGAAAGCTTACAGCGAAAAAGCGCAGCAAGTAGAGAAGTTTTCGAACAATCAAGAATACCGTTAACTGCATTTTATATAATTTTTAAAACAAGTGAACAAATTGTTTTCTTCAAAGAAAATATTTCAATAAATCATTCATTCTTCTTCATCTTGATCTGTTGTATTTGTATCAGCCGAGTACTCGTCGTCATACTCATCCAACTGCTCACCATCGTCCACTTTCTTCTGTTTCTTAAGCAAACTCAGCCGATAAGCCTCCTCCTCCTCGGGTGTCGGATCGGTGGTCTCAATGAAGTCTTCATCGCCATGCGGATACTCACCCATTACGGGTGGCAAGTGTTTAAATAACATATTACGTGCCACATACTTATGACCCCAACCGACATAAATCGATTCGCAGAGTTTTTCAAAGGTAAAGGTGTAAGCACCCGGCCAGACATTCGATTGCATGACGAGTATACGTTCATTACGATTAGTGTATTTGCTGGTGAAGCGTGAGACCCACGGTATAGTGTATTGATCACTACGATCGTTGGAGATTGGATGCAGTATCGGCGGTCCTTCTTCGGGCACAGAAAATTCTTCCCCCTCCATGTCTTCCTCCTCCTCTTCCTCCAATTCCAGTTCATCCTCTTCCACACCCATCTCCTCCATATGTAGCATTTTCTTAAGACGTTCTATTTCCTTCTCGCGTACTTTTTGCGCCTTCAATTCATCATACCAGATGACACGTCCCTGCAATAGTAGATTCGGGCGTACATGTAACCATTTCTCTGTGTCTGTGAGTGACTCCAACTGTTCCGGCTCGTATTTTTCATTCTTCAAGAGCATTACGTCATTATCTGTAGGACCCAGAAGAGAGTAGGTATTAATAGCGACGACAAAGCGAATTGTTTATTATTACGAGTATGCAGATTAGCTTACCAATTGTATCTTCTTCGCCCTCGCCCAAAACAGATGGTTCCTCTTCCTCCTCCTCCTCCTCCTCGTCATCTTCTATACCATCGTAGGCACGTCGCTCCTTCTTCGTCATCGTTCGGTAGTAACCGTAAGGCGCAATATATGTACCGGCTGTTATGCGTGCTATGAGCGCACGCAAGTAATGTTTTTCTTTGCCCGGAAAGCAGGGATACGATTGTATGTCCGCTTCAAGATCGCCCGTAAGGAATTTCTTTATTTCGCGTGAAGCTCTAATTTGACCCGGTGTTACCATGGGTAATTCTATCCAGTCATCTGAAACATTGTTCACGACAAAGTACGAATAGCGATTGGTGCCTGCGCCAACCAGTTCGGGTGGCACACTAAATACCTCCTTCGGTTCAACTAGCGGTATTGGCGCTGCTTCGGGCACCATTTTCTCTACTTCCTCAATCGGATGTTGGTCCCAACCCAATTTTCCGGGTATCAATTCCGGGCCGATGAAGGTTGGTGTTGGTCGTACACCCGATACGATGCGTTGTAACATCTCCTTGCGCTTTTCCTGTAGCTCCTCGGTCATTTGATCGACACGTGACAGCACCTCCTCATGTGACAGTGAGGCCTCCACTATATAATATGATGCTTTTAGACCGCTGATCATGCCCCAAAAACGACATTGCATTATGGAGGGATGTGTTTGCAGGCGATCCATGGCACAGGCGAGTTGAAAGATGTCGTCTGGGTTGATACCGAAGCCGCATTGATTCCAAAAGAATTGTAAATGCTGTACACGCTCATTGAAGGTTATGAAGCGGCTTAAGTCTAAAATGTCTAGCTTCAGTCCTTCCAAAATAGCCGATTTCGACTCCTCCAAAGCAGTCATTTCGTCCGCGGCGGGCAGTTCGTGCGGTTCCGGTGTTGGTAACTAAAATGATGGTAAGATGAATGAACAGTTTGTTGAGCAGTCTCAATTCACAATTAACAAAAGCAACCTTCATTGACAAAAGTAACTTTTTGGCCACACGATAGAGTCGCGACTCTTCGAAGACGCCGTCCGGTGGAAATCGCTCTGGCAGATGTAGTTTCTGTTCACGCACATTGCGACTGAACTCCTCAAAGAAGTCTATAACATTCGGTGGACGTTCATCGATAACTCTTTTAATTATATCAGACAAGTGGTCGAACCTGTGAAGGAGCAGAGAAGAGCAAATAATTTTATTTTTTCAACAGACCTGCACCTGAAGTTAACACCTACAAATTGTCACCGCTGATGGTGCTGTATTGTTGCATAATCGCCTTGGCCACATTCAACTCGTAGCCAATATTTGGGGGCTCTTTTCTTGTTTGATCGCGTTTCTCACACTCAGAGGCGAAGTATTGACTCATAATGGTATTGGACGAGGAGGATGACGAGGTCGAGATCATATGCGCACATGGATCTGTGGAGTCTTCGGACTTTTCTGGTTTCTCCGTGTCATCCAATTTCCGTTTCATTTCAAGACCGCCACATGGATAATTCAGTTTGGAGCTGGACGTCGTGTCCAGTGTGAAATTATCACACGACTGCTTATCTTCAGTATCCATACCGGTGACTTTAGTTGATTCGGGTTGATTTGTTGAGCAATAGACTAAACGTCCGATTGATAATGAAGTGAACTCTAGGCTTTTCAGAAAGAAAGTAAAATTCTTAACGACAGAAAATATTTTCCCAAAATTTTCGACGTCAACTTAAAATTGCCTTGCAGACATTTCGGTTCAGGGATGCTTTAGACAATATTCGGTTGAATTTATTTGCGGATCAGTGTTAGTCTTCGAGCTTTATTTCAGAGACGTTATGATAAAGACAACAGACATGTAGGCTTATGTGGAAATATCTAAAGGGTTAACGTTTTATGCTATCAAAACAGGGACACCAGGAGTCTACGCTTGACATTTAATTCTGATGCCAGGTGTCGTGCCTGGAACCACGAGTGTGCTATTATGGGTTTCTGAACAGATTCTGGTATCTGAATTTGGAGGCCTTAAACAATTGCTAATTGTAGGTGTACCTATAACACGGCCTAAATCCCACATCAAGGCGTTCGACGTATAAAAGTGTACGTCTAATAGGTAAATTATGGTAAAATAGCTTTAGGTGCGTAACATAAAAAGACTTCATGGAAATATCTTACCAAAGTGAAAGTGAAATGTGGATGACGACCTTGGCAAATATAAAGAGGTTTACGGTGGTCGCGATAGCCGAGTGGTTAGTATTGCAAACTGCCATTCGGTAGATCTGTTGAATCCCGGTTCGAATTAAAAGCTCCACATAAAAATCCATCAGCCGTGCGGAGGCGGATTGGAATAAACTGTAGGTCCCTGCAATCGTTGGAAAAACAGCAAGACGCATACCATAAATTGGAAGACCGGCACTTTACATCCGCTGAAACGATTTCCGGCCGAACATGAATCTTCACCGTGAATTATGGATTTTACATTAATAAAAATCATTTCTAGACTAATATGGAAGCTTAGTGTACCCAACTAAGCCTTCACTACAAAACGATCCCAAATCTAATGAGTCATATTGATTTTAGTTAGGCTTAAAGAATGATACGAGATTAAATTATCACCAAAATCAAAAGAAAGGCTGGTATGATGAGAATTATATTGGAGTGAAGAAAGGCAGCATTTTTGTGGTCAACCGCAAAGCGAACCATAGAGAGAACCGAGAGTTGAAAAGTGACGCGAGACATAAAAGATATGGCCAACACAGGAAATGCTCGAAAAAATGAGGCGACTTTCAGAGAATTTCAAGACCGGATCTTCTTCCTGTAGCAACAAGACAAGAGTTGTCTGAAACCTTTCAACGGACCCAACGTCTCGGAGTAGACCTTCCTAATTCCGACTACGCCTTTAATGTTGTCCAGCATCAGCATTCGCAGCCATTTAAGTTTTGCTGTCGAACATTTGATCTAAAGTCATACCAAAGAGTTCCAAATTCTGCAAAGGAGCTGATGCATGCATCTTGTCAGCTCTTCACCCTACTGGTAAGCCATCAGCTGCAACCGATTTATTTTGTTTTTTAAGCGTTAAATCGCTATTCGAATCGAATCATAGACGGGTAATGGAAAGTCTAATCTATCATCATCGATTGGGGTTTCGTGATCACTATCTCCGATGGCGGATAAGCTGCGAGGTAGGCAGCCTGTCTTTTATATCGCACCAGCTCTTATTTTGGCACTGTTGAAAACTACTTTATATTGAGTTGCTGAAGAATGACCTGAAAAATCAAGTGCACAAGTCGAGTAGAAAACTGTTCGGCGGCCATTTATGGTTGCAGCTTTTCGACGACAAACCTTCCGTGTGTTTCTTGTCTTGGTACTATAGACAACCTATTTGGGATTACGGCGAAGTCGAACAGCCTCAGCCTGTTTGAAGATGTTTTGTCATACGCATAGATAGCGTCTTTGGTTGCATCATCCTTCTTTTTTCCGGTGAGTGGGCGCAAATTAGTGATATGTTGAAAAATTTTTGCTTCGAGGGGAAATTCGGCTAGAATTGAGGCAACAAATTGAGTGCCACATATCCAACACCAATTTGTGCTCCTCTATATGACTGTTGTAGTAGATTGTTGAAGAATCCACTTTCTTTCGTCCTTTTCCGTTCTATCACACTTATTGAATACTGATGATGTTAGCCTTTAATCTTAAGAAAACATCAACCACCTGGACAGTGAGACCTTACCAATTAATAGACCAGATATTTTCCCTGCATGCCTTCAAAACGTGTTTCTTAAAACGTTTGATTGGATCTCACTTTCAAGCCATTTTGTTGTTTTTCTTTAAAGTTTATTTTTAATGTGGTGCAGGCGACTCGTCATCATAGAGTTGTTTGTTGGCTACACATAGCTAACTTGGTCTAAGACCGAAAGTCGTGAGCTGCTTGAATCGTATGCTTAAATCATTTCGCCTGGAACTCCCATATTGAAATAGAAAAGAGTTGGCGCACCAATACTAAGTGTAACAATTAAGTAGATTCTATAAAACCCGTATATTTCAAAATTATTCTACAACTCTTCCATCCCCTTCAAAGTAGTCTCCTTGGGCAGCTATGCAACGATTCCAGCGCGTTTTTCATGCTTCGTTACATTTCTGGGACGCATCGACTGGGATATCCGCAAGTACCCTCGTCACGGCCGCTTGGATGTTCTCAATCGGTTCAAAATGGGTTCCAGTGACCACCGATTTTATTCAAGGGAATATATCGGGCGAATAAGCCAGTTGTTGCAACACGGTGATCCCTTTAGAGCCCAAATACACTCTGACACTCTGCGCGGTGTGGCACGGCGCGTTGTCGTGATGAAGGATCCAGTTACGAACGAAGTTTGGGCGTACCTCGTTAACTTGTATGCGTAATCTTTCGAATACTTGGCGATAGTAGACTTGATTTTTGGTCTTCCCGGTCTTCGGGGGAATAAATCCCTAGTGGGAGATTCCAACAAGCTAGAGCGATGGCAAATGTAGAGGAGAAAGATGCCGGGAGTGGGGAAAGGGAATTTCAAGGACGCAGGGTTACCACAATTATGTCGCATACATATGTTGCTGCGGGATACAAACCCTTTGCATCGCAATACAATCAAGCCTACTATACTGTTCTCTTGTTCTCGAGGAGAGCCTGTATTTATTCCTAAGACTTAATATCAGAATATCCCTTTGAATTCACGTTAGTGCAGTTCTCCGTGAACTTCTGCATGGGGAACCCTAAAAACAAAGCTAAAGGTCATACAAAGGCAGTAAGAGTAAGCTTTGCGTAAAATCCAATTCTCCGATGGCCAGTTAAATGTAGTTGGTGCGGTGCCATGTGCTTTATGGCCAGAGGGAATCATTGGTCCACATTTTTTCAAAAATTAAGTCAAAAACCTTTAGAGCCAGATTTAATGACTTTTTCGTGCATGAATTGAATAATGTTGTTGTTGACGACTTTTGGTTCTAAAGAGACGGTTCCGCGTGCCACCCAATCAACGAAACTATCAATTTATGGAAGGGAACTTTTGGTGAGCGCATTGTTTCGCGACATGGCGATTTAAGGGGTTACATAGGTCTTGAAGGCCAAAAAAAAGTTATTTTCTCTCATTAAAAAAAAAAAATACTAAATAAGGTATACAATTTATTTTGTTTATATATAAAAGTACCATATGTGGACAATATTTGATGAAAATTTGAATAAAAAATAGTATAAGTTTAGGGCATTGGCAGTGTCGTGAAGTAGTCCGTCCACAAGAAAGTGCTTTTGCGGTAGACATGACAACTTTTTCAATTTTTATCTGAAATCAAAAATTCAAATTTTTTCTTAAAGCAGGTTAATTTTCCTTGTCCCTGAATGAAGAGAAATTAAAAAAATTAGAAATTGATTTTTTTGTAGAGTTTTTTTACAAAAAAACGTAATTTTTTGCATAAAATTAGGCCTATTGGCTTTTAAATGAGTTGAAATCAAAGATAAAATAAATCCTTCGTTCAGGGACTACAAAAACACGCTTGAAAGAAGTGTGGAAAATTTGAATTTGATCCTATCAACAGTCGTTGAGAAATTTTGACTACCGATTTCGATGAAGTGATTTTAAGAAAAACTCGTTTAAAGTTACGCCATCGGTCAAGCCATGACAAAGACGGCGGGTTATAAAACCCTCTCATTTCTACAGTTTCGTCTCGATCAACTTGAAACTTGGGGAAAATATTCCTAACACTTTGTACTTTTATACAAAAAATTATCAAAAATGAATTTTTTGAAATTTCAAGACCTATGTAGCCGCTTAACGTCGCTGGCCCAAAATTGAGGCAAAAAAGTGGTCGAAAATTTGGCCTCACAACTGGAACTTAATGGAGACGGCCGAGGCAGTTACTTGTTCGAACTAACTCTTAAAACATAATGACAAAACCCTTAACTTTATAATAAAGTTAAATCCATGGCCATAATATTAAACTACACTGAAAATCACGTCCCAAAAAAACTCCCATTAGTTATTTACATAAATTTACATAAATTTACAAATTTTATCCATAACATACTAACATGTTAGGTGTAGTGTTTACGTTCGAGGTGTAAACTATTTCACTTTATGTTGTTTTCGCATAAATATCAGAAGCATAAATAACAAAGATTAGATTTAGAAAACCGCCTAAGATTAGATATCTAATCAACCGTCACTTGTACATATTTCTTAGTACGCAAAAGAGAAGAATAAAAACATTTACTTACTCACAATCATATGATCGTTAAAATTAGAAGGCTTTCACCAAACACAGCCTCCTCTCAACTGTCGGCAAAATATCAATGTTTGTAACTAAAAGTATATGCATAAATTGGGTATAGTAAAAAGAAATCTATTATTTTTACAAGAGATGACGTTATTTATATGTATATCGCATTGCATAAGTCCGATTGGGGTCCGCTAGATGGCGTTAGAATGATGACAGTTTGTACTAAAAAAACTATTCTGACAGTTTTGTGAAGTAAAAGTTGATTCATTTCATTTTGAGCGTCCGTAAAAGATGGACACTAGCAAAGAGAAAATGCGCAAAATTTTACAGTTTTCCTTCGATAACAGCTGAAAGTGTGAACAGCGTTTATGGTCCTGATACAGTTACAGTCAATCGTACACAATTGCGGTTTCATACCGGTTATTTTAATGCAAAAGATGCTTCACGGAGTGGAAGGCCAATTGTCGAAAATGTCGATAAAATCATGGACATTGTCGAGTCCTTTCGTCA